CCGCGGGGAGCCGCGCCCGGCCAGCCCTGACCCCGCTCTGCTCCGCTCCCCGCTCGTCTCCGTGTTCCGTAGGCGCCGTGACAGAAGTCAAAACGGACATCTACGTGACCAGCTTTGGGCCGGTGTCCGACGTGGAGATGGTAAGGGCCCTGCTTGCCGCCCCTGCTCTCCTTTCCCGGGATTCATTACGGTGGCATCTGAGTTGACCGTCATTAAAGCGGATTACGAGGCTTAATCTTCTTGACAATCTGTAGGGCCCGGCAGAGCAGTTTGGCTGGAGCTGCATATAGCTATTTCCCCAGCAGAGTCAGACAGAGCAGCCCGTGGCCCAGGCCCGAGACGGCACAAAGAGCAAGGCTAGCCTCGGGTGAGGGCACTGATGGGAGGTTAAAGATGCCTCTTTAACCTCGTTAAGAAGATTGTAAACACCTGTGGCCCAACACATAGGTTTGCAGGAAGGCTGAGTGGTAGGCAACAACCTAATGAGCAGCTGCTGGGGAATGGTGCCATTTCTGAAACAGCTGTCCCTTGTCATTCTGGGTGCCCCCAAATTCAGGTAGCTGTGGGCTTGGGTGAACTCTGTCAATTACAGCAGCCGCCCTGGGAAAATGTTAAGCCATTGGAGTGAGGATGGCATTGCTGTTCTCATTCTGGAAATTTACTTTCATCGCTATTTTTGCCCTTGTACACTTCCTCCAATACCCGCTCACCTGCAGTCCAGTTTGCACGCAAGGAACTGTGGGCCCCAAGATACAACCAAAAGTTTTTCCACCTTTCTTCATCAGTCAATCCAAAAGAAGGCGTAACCTTGCTGCCTTACACATTTGCCTCCAGCCAGGGTTTAACTCCATTTCCTAAGCAACTTCTGTAGAGACCTCTCTTCTGAAGGCTTGTGAGAATATTACTAAGAATCCTTAAGAAAAATAACTGAGAATATTAACTTGACACCATAATCCTACTGTGATGCGACTCACTCACATCAGTCCTTTCTTTGTGAATATCCAAAGTAAGCTGCAGAAGAGGCACTGAACATATCTTTTTGTTCCTGACAATTAAACATTGATAGTTTGTTTTTGCACTTTGAAAGGATACTAAATTAGACATTTGTATTTCCTTAGACCTCAGTCACTTTGAATTAAATTATTATCTCTGAGAGGATAATGAGGGTTTTTTCCCTTACTCATATCAAATTATCTCTTCACTGATTAATTTGTAACTAATTTTTAAATAATAAGAAAATAGGATATTTTTTCATAGACTTTTTTTTTTTTTTTAGTAACTACTTAATGGTAATAGGATTAAGTGTTTAAGCAGTAAAGGAAATGCCATTGACGTGTGTTAGGTTCTTTCATGGAGTACTGTCTACACTGCAACTTGGGACTGCTGGCCCCCACACGTAAGTCACCCACCTATTTATTTTCCATAGGAATACACAATGGATGTCTTCTTTCGGCAGACATGGACTGATGAGAGGTTGAAGTTTAGTGGGCCAACTGAAATTTTGAGATTGAACAATTTAATGGTCAGTAAAATTTGGACACCAGACACATTTTTTAGAAATGGAAAAAAATCAATTGCTCATAATATGACAACTCCTAACAAACTTTTCAGAATTATGCAGAATGGAACTATTCTTTACACAATGAGGTGAGAGCCTATTCTTCTGCTTTTGGTTGACCTTTATTTTTGATTCTTTCAGCAGTGTTCCTGCATACCATTTTTTTTCATTGTCATCTACTATAATGTATTCTAGACTAACCATTAATGCTGATTGTCCTATGCGGTTGGTGAACTTCCCTATGGATGGACATGCTTGTCCATTGAAGTTTGGAAGCTGTAAGTTTTTCTGTATCTTTCAGTTTTTCTATAGTAACGCATTTGGTCTACGTATATGTGAGAAGATCAGAAGTGAGATCCTAGGACACTACTTAAAGACATAGATGAATTTTTTAATTATATTTTTTATACTAGAATCTTACTTTCTCCTCTGAGACTCAGACCATTCATAAGCATGTGGATTTATTCACTAAAGAGTGACTGTTGAAGCATACTTTATTTTTATTATTCTTACACATTTAATAGTCCAAGTGAGTCCTTCAACAAGTCATAAAATCTGTGGTACGTTTATTATGTTACTTGTAGTTTTGCAAAATGAAAATATTTAGTTGATCTGCGGTAATCAAGTATGTGTTTTATAGCAAATTAAGAAACAAAAGCTAGTGCCCATCAGGTCTCACCTCAACCATTCTCCTATTGTTGATTTTTTTGTGTTTTGTCATTAATGAGGTTAGGAACTTGCTGGAGCAGGATGCATGTTTCTTTGGGTATTTGAGCCACGAAAGGGATCATGCTACTTATTTTTTCAGTTGCTTATAAATGACATAATAATAGCAATTTTTTCCTCTTTAACTCAGATGCTTATCCAAAAAGTGAAATAATTTATACATGGAAAAAAGGACCCCTGCATTCAGTAGAAGTTCCACAAGAGTCTTCCAGTCTCCTCCAGTATGACCTCATAGGGCAAACTGTATCTAGTGAAACAATTAAATCTAACACAGGTAAGATGTAGCCATGTAGGAACTATTTACTTTATAAAACACATCCTGAAAATAAATTACAGCAGGTTTTTTTCCATATAGAATCAAATTAGTTTAATTATCTTTTGCCATTTTAAAACCTAAAATCCTTGGAAGGAATCAAACCATTGTCACTTAAAAGCTAGTTTTTCAATATGGTCATTTTTCATGCAATAGTTAAGAATTCCCCCTGCCTCCCCACCCCAGTATAAACAATACATAAAATGAATATTATTCTCTTCTGTTTCCATCAGGTCACTTTTTTTTAATCAGCTTATTTTTATTATGCACTGTAAGTGCTTTCCTCAGAACATAGTATGTTGGGTTTAAGCCAATGTTTACTCATATGTTGCCAAAATAGTGCTGACATACTTGTCTCTTAACAGGTGAATATGTAATCATGACAGTTTACTTCCACTTGCAAAGGAAGATGGGCTACTTCATGATACAGATATATACTCCATGCATTATGACAGTCATTCTTTCTCAGGTGTCTTTCTGGATTAACAAGGAGTCTGTTCCAGCCAGAACAGTTTTTGGTATGCTGCATTAAGGTCTTTGAACAGCTCAGCATCACATATACCATTCATTCATTCCTTTCATTGCTTGTTTGTTTTAGGTGAATATTCACTTCAGCTGCTCTATTTCCATCTTCAAAGGAAAATAGGCTACTATCTCATTCAGACATACATTCCATGCATCATGACTGTAGTCCTGTCTCAAGTTGTGTTTTGGATCAACAAAGAATCTGTTCCAGCAAGAACCGTGGCTGGTATTCATGTTTTGTTCTTTTATCATTCATTTCATTCACTGTATTGAATCCATTGTATCAAGCAGCTATTGTAATCCAATGGGAGTTGGAAAAGACAGCTAGTAGGTTTCAGTGAACAAAAGTAAATACTAAAATTAAACCAAATAATAATCAGTCTGCCTGTGAGGGTCAAAATTCTTTACTCAGAATGTTTGGTTAGCTAAACTTGTTTGTTTCTTCCCCTCAATATTTCTTCGTATGCAGGAAGGGACAATTTCAGAGTAAATGTCAACCTTTCCATTTTTTAAAGAGGAATTTTTTTATTGATTTATTCTCTTGTGAAACCAGTCTGAGTAGAAGGTTTAAAAAAAAATCACATGGGATGTAATTAATCTCATTTGACATAAGGTACCTCATCTGGTACTCATTCTGAAGTGCCCTCTTCCCCTTGTTTACAGAGGTATCTAAACAACTATCTAAACAACTTTAGGTGGATAAAGTTAGGTGAGATGAATTCTGTCTGTAGCACAGGTGGGCGTCGCAATGTGAAAGGTGGGTCCGTGTTGCATGGCAAAGCCCTTTTTTCTTTCCAGTGGTTTAATTAATACTCCCAAAGCTGTGAGGTTTGTCTCCTTAATTTTTAGTGTGTGCTCTGCTATTAAATGTGACCCTCCCCCCCTGCCCCCCCCCCCCTCAGTTCAGTAGTGATAGGTTCTGAAACTGCACTCATTGTTAAAGGGGAAACTTTCACTGACTGAATTGTTGTTTCTAGAAAAACAATCATAAAAATACTAAGCAAAATTAATAAAACTTGTCAAAAACTTCATGAATCCACTACTCATACATACACATTTTGCAACCCTATCTATTTTCTCTTAACCCAGTATTTCTATACAAAAAAATCCCTTTGTGAGATTTGTCTTCAGTAACGAAAAGGCAGCTATATGTCCCTTAAGCATAAATGTTGCAAGTCTCGTAATTCAAAATGAGCCTATAATTGTAGTTAGCAGGCTACAGAATTTGTATAATTTGATTTTGGTCAATTGGCATTTCCTACCTGCATGGAATGGTATTCATAAAAGCATTGCAAACTTTTAGGAATGCTAAGTGAACACAACTTCCTCAGGTGCCACTGAAGGATGATCAACACTTTTTGTTCTTGAAATGCCCACTGGGTGTTGGGATGCAGTTTGGCATCATTAAGCACTTACAAGTATTATTTTCTGGCAATTGGGATTTAAGTAAGTGCTTAAAAATATTAAAATATCAGGCATTAGATTTTTCAAGGATGTTTATCACAATTGAAGCATAAAATATGTATAGGAGGTTTGTACAGCAAATATAATGCTACCTGATTTGGCTTTATATTGCATCTCTGGACTATACAGTCACAGTTTGAGTAAAACAGATTTGCTACCTAGTGGGCAGTGGAAGCTGATTCTATATGCTTGAAGTAATATGAAAATAAGTCTTTAGCTGATTCAGTAATAATTACAGAGAGACCCCAAACCCTGGAATAACAACTCTTAGATGTCATAGTGAAGAGCAAATATAGAATTAGAAACAGAAAATATTTTAAGTAGTAAAGTAAACACCTTTCCCAGTATTGTGTAAAATTAGTCATGTTGGCATTTTAAAAGAGTATTTCAATCCTTATTCCATTCTTATTTCTTCCAGACACAGTCTGAATTTATAGTCCTTACTAATTCAAAATCCCATGGATTCTAAATACCTGCATCTAAGGAAAAGAGGACAAACTCCTTATGACAAAAAAGACTTTCAGGCCCCAATAAAAAAGAAAAGGTTTAAAATGGAGAAGGTTTAAAATAGGAAGTAAGCTTCCTTTCTGCATCGTATTGCAAATACTTGAATTACAAATTTTCAGTTTTACTTCTAAGTTTCTAAACTATAAGTTTGACAGGAAAGAAATTAATAGTAGACAAATAACAATAGTGTGCCTAAACCACTTTCTCAGAACAAATTCATTTAGCAACTCTACCTCCAAAATGGATGGCAGTTATCCTTTGCAGATAATATTACAATAAATACTCTGAACATTTTGCCAAGATAAATTAATGGTCATAAGAACCTACTCTTTACAGATCTGCAAGTGAAACATGGGAGACAGAAATAATTGAAGAGGCACTCTTGCATTTTTTTGTAATTGTGTCATTGGAAAGAACAGCAGATTGCTACTATGAAATTCCTTATTTTATGTGGAACTATGTACATAGCTATGCATATGCATATATATGTGTGAAGTTTTATGAAGCAGGGCATTATCAGAAATTACTTAGAACAAGAAACATGGTTATTGGAGGCCTAATTTTAAGTATGCTCTGAATCCATATAGCAGTGGCTATTGTTTCACATTTTTATGTGCCTTTATCTGATCTTTTCTATTCCTGGCAAAAAGTTCATCTTTTGCAGAAAGATAGTAGTCAGCTTCTACCTTTCTAGCAGGTCACTGTGGGAATTTTAAATTAATATCCATTAAACTTTATTTATAAAGTCTCAGGCAAAGGTGTTTAGGTTTCTTTGTTGTTTCATTTTTAATAAGAAAAAATAACATATTTCAGTATTTGCATTATGTAACAGATTCTGCAAAACTTACCAAGAAGTGTTCAAAGTGGAAAGACGAGGGTAAACAATCATCAGTTACACAGTTTACCAACTGTAATTTGGCATTCAGTTTGATAAAGTAGTTTTCCACAGTGCAGAGTATTTCATCAATATTCACTCCACATTGAGAGAAGTCTTATCTATATCTGTAATAGAATAGGAGTCCTATTCCTAAGTTTAAATTCCTGC